TGTTTGTGTGTGTGTGTGTATATATATATATATATATATATATATGTGTGTGTGTGTGTGTGTCTGTGTGTGTATATATATATATTAAATTGAACATAGGTAATATAGTTTGTCTTATTAAACTTCAAGATGTTAGTTTAAAATTTATATATTTGTGTTTTGTACAAAGGTTTTGACAAAAGTTGAAAATATAAGGTCAAAACTGCATGTATTATAAAACAATCAATATAATATGAAAAAAGGTTTTAGATTAAGCATAAAAAGTCAGACTGTAGGACTACCGGTTGACACACTGCAAAGCTAAAAGCACAGATTTATCATCAATACATGAGTAAATGTAGATAATAGTGAAGATTTGTGCCAGCTATGAAATCCTTACGCAAGATAATTTGATTTGACTAAACTAAACTAACTGATTTATGTGAATATATCCCATGCATCTACTGAACTAAATTTTACTTCTCGAACTCTCTAGACATTTATCATCCACTTATGAATCTGTGGTTAAATACGTCACCAGCCCAGAAATATTACTGTAACGATTAAGAGACCATCAAAGTTTGCACAATAGGTAAAACCACTGGCACACTTTATTGCAAGTTATAGTATGCAATAACACTTATGACAGAGCATAAACATTAAATATGCAACAAAACTGCAATCCACGTCAAGTCATAAAAAGCGAATAGAAATCTTACCCCAAGAAGGCATACTTTCAACTCTCTTAGCGACATGTTGACCTCCAAACTAATGAAAACTTCCCAATCATTCCAAACAGTTTCATAAAGCTGATAAACAACTATTTGTATTTGACGTAAGCTAAAAAGCAACACACACACAGTCTCTCTCTACACACTAGTGTCAGATATCCACTGCTTTAGGACGGCATGAGAACCTGATGTGAAATACTGACATAACGCGTATAGCTTATTATAGTATGAGGATTTAGATGTTATATTAATGATCGATTAGTTGCGATATTAGCTGCTCGCTGATCGCCATCTTGAACTCCGGCTGATGAGTCTAGTTATGGGAAGTCATTGCCGCGAGTCGGTTCTTTCGAACAGTTCGTTTCATTGAACCGTTCAAAAACTGTTAGAGCAAAGTAATTACGTCATCTCGTGGTTCCTAACATACAGCACGCATAAAAATAAAGCCCTATTGGGCATATAAAGGCACATACGGCTGTTTATGCACTTTTCTATTATGTTTTATTATTATCAATAATGTACGTTATTGTAATTTCATGTATTCCAGTTTATGATAATGGATGACTGAGTTTCCAGAACACTTCAGCAACTTTACAGATCAAAATATCTCTCTATTGAGGTGAATATTATATATATATATATATATATATATATATACACACACACACAATGGAACAATGGAAATAAAAGTAAGGACAATGGAAATGGAAAAAAAAGTCACAATCCTGAATTTTTTATTTATTTACATTAAACGGCACGAAATGTCAAAGAGTGGCTCGAGAAAACGCCCGGATCTCAGTCCGATTCGTGAAAGAATCATTCAGTCCGGTTTTGTGAACCGGTTCAACTGAGTCACTAAAAAGATTCCATTCTTTATGAACAATTCATTCACGAATCGGACTAGTCACGTGATCGACATTGTCTTATTTTTTTCTCATCGAGCGTTCGGTTGAGCGATACGATTATTTGCGATATTTTCACGCGTAAAAGTGTTTTGTTTCGATGAGTTTCTGTCTGTTCTTTTAAGTATTTGATATTCATGTAGATGCCGGGATTGAAATAAGAGCAGGAAATCTTTTGAGGAAGTGGAGTGACAGCCCCGCTGTTAATCAAGATGGCAGGTAACGTGCTTTAGTACATTTATTTAAAGCTTTATGAGGCGGTTTAAAGAGAATCGGCTCAGTTATTATTGTTGATTTGATGACGCGTAATGCCTTTTCAATTTTTCTGATGTATTTTAGAAGAAAGGTCATGAGCTTGGTGAAATGTTAAGTGGATTAACACTAGTTGCGAGTTGTGAAGCTAGCAGGACAGACTGGGATATTATAAAAGTACTGTGATAAAGAACTACATCGGCCCAACAGGACAATTTATGTTGTATTAAATACTGTATGATGGAAATTATATAGTACATTTAAGTAAATAATGACGATAACATAGCTGAGCTGACAGGAGTTTGACTGTCAATTTGTTAGCCAGCCTGACGGGGGGCGATTCCGGTTAGCACGTTTGGTTAACTGGTCCCCTTTTAAAATGCATTTCTAATGTGTCATAACTTAAGAACTGTTTGTATGTTGTTGCTCACTACGATATGAAAGGTGTTTGGCAGACATCTTCGCCTAGTAAGCGGGTTATTTGATGTAGTCAAACCTGAGTTGACATTTTAGTGAGATAAAAGTTAACACTACAATACATACCAAGGCTGTGTGTCAAAACCTAGTGAGCAGTCTACCTAAGCAGCACTTGCACTGAAAAAAACAAAAATGCTGTGTAGTAAGGTAGTTTACTAGGAGGCTATGTTGTGAGCCACAGCAGCATGGCTTCAAACTGTCAGATTATCTACTATACACTTGCCGGTGTAGTGCCGAAATTTGCCCCCTGCCAGATTATGCACCCCCTAGTATTGGTAGGTTTAGGAGTAGGTGTGGGGGAGGGGTTAGGATTATGGGTGGGGTTGGGATTAGGCAATCAGGTGAGGGGGTGCATAATCTGGCAGGGGTGCAGAATTCGGCACAACACCGGTGTAGTGCCGAAATTTGCACCCTGCCAAATTATGCACCCCCTAGTATTGGTAGGTTTAGGAGTAGGTGTGGGGGAGGGGTTAGGATTATGGGTGGGGTTGGGATTAGGCAATCAGGGGAGGGGTTAGGATTAGGGGTGGGGTTGGGATTAGGCAATCAGGTGAAGGGGTGCATAATCTGGCAGGGGTGCAGAATTAGGCACAACACCGGGCTCTGATTTTAAATTTATGGTTTGTTTCCCCAGGTCTGTCTTTGTATTTTGAAGATGGTCATGATGATTTGGATGACTGTGAGTATACAGAACTCTTCAGCAACTTTACAAATCAATATCTCTCTATCATTGTGACTGGGTGAATCTGATGAAACCTCTCAAGTACATGCCCAGGTCATGTTTCACTCGGGGAAAAAAAAAAAGTATGGATAGATAGATATTTTTGCTTAATGAAGTCTGTTTTAGGACCATTCATATTTTAATTAAAAATGAGCTTAATTGTCAAGATAATGTCACAACAAAAATATCTCAATGGACCTCAAATATGCAATTTTTAATGTAAAATTTAATATGGACCTACCCATGCTTTTAAGAATTTTCCTCATTATTTTTACACTATATAGTTGAAGTCAGTGTGATCTTTGCTGCCAGAAGCAGCTTGCTTATAATGGAATCCCTTTAACTGTTTATGCTGTAAAGTAAATAATTTCTCATTAAACAAATTCCCTCTACTCCGTGTCACTCTGAATTTCTTTTAATAAGATTCCTAGTTTGAATTTAAAAGATCTCACATTTGATACCACCAGGCTGTACTAACAAACTCGACATTGATTTATACTCGGTCATTAACTGTCCATATGAATCTGTCTTGCAGTTGGATTCGATGACTATGGTTCAGAGTGTGATGGGATTCGGATAACAGCATTCCTGGATGCAGGCCAGGATAATCTCACCCCTCTGGGCCGGCTGGAGAAATATGCTTTCAGTGAAAACGTCTTCAACAGGTGAGATGTAAAGTGTGTGGTCTGCAGTGTAAAACAAGTAACTATGAGACATGTAATGTGAGATGGATTTCAGGATATTTTTTTTCTCTGAAATGCAATGCTCAGTGTTTTCTCAGGAGTAGTATAAGATTTTATGTGCATCTATATAATATATGCACACATACATGCATACAAATGCCTCATTCATTAATTCAAAGACCTGTTATTCAGTGTTTCCTTAACACCAATCGTTCAGACAACCCATTGAGTCGGTTTTGCCTGTCCTTTTCACGTAGGTGCGAAAGACGAGCCAGGCCGCTTTACTGGTGCTACTTGAACAGGGTCTGATGAGTAAGGCAGATATGGAGGGAAAGGTCTGCCCTGTGCTTCTGGAGCTTACTGAACCCAGCAGTGACGATGACTACAAGATCGAAGCAGTTGCGGTGAGTCTTTGTGTTAAAGAGAACGTGCTGCTGATTACTGGAAGTGGAAAATACTCATGGTAAAAATATGTAAACCATGAGTTTTCTTAGGACTGAAAAGATAACTTGTTATATTTCCTGTCGTAACTTCATTCCATTTATGATGGAATGCATATCTGTTTACTGTCTGCATGATACTGTGTTAACTGTTTTAATTGTTTTGTGGGGTTGGGTTGATGGTGTTGATCTTTGGGTTGATGGTGAATAATGTTTTGTTGCAGATCATGTGTAAGCTGGTGACCATGTTGACTAAAGACACGGTGGAGCACCTTTTATTGCTGCGCTTTTGTGAACTCTGCAGTGACGTCAGACTATTTCAAGTCCGCAAGGTAATGATACTCTCAAAACGTTTCATAATTCTTGGATGAGCTTAGAACTGGTTTATGACATGTCAAGTCTTTGTGGAACATCTTCATAGTTGATGTGATGAACTGCGTTGTGTATTAGGGCTGTCAAAATGGCTGAAAGTCTAAATTCGAATTTTGTAATTAAATATGATCAAAATTTGAATTATAATCAAATTTAAAATGCATAATTTCAGTTAGGGTGAAGAAAAGCTTTTGGCTTCTCTCCAGAGGCCACAAGAGAGCGCATCGAGCAAAATATCTGTGGGAAAAAAGTGCAAAATGTTTAAAATAATTTTTATAAACCAATTATAATGAATTAAGTTGCTTAAACAACTATAAACAAAACAGCATCATGTATGTATGCATAGTTTAATACAAAGGGCGGAAACCCAAACACAGAGTACATTTTTCATTAAAAAATATTGAGATGCATTGGGATGGGGGAAAAAACCCCACCATAAACTCTCAATATATGTTTTTTTCAAAGTTAAACTTGCATTAATTTTACATGGCTTTCTAAACATGCGGCTCCTTTGTGCGAGATGCGAGTGCAACTGTGATAGATGTCCCTCTAGAAAATGCGTGTTCTGTGTGAATGGCTTGGTTTCAGTTTTGATGTAAACAAGATCATTGTTGTTGACCGCATTGATGTTCTCTTTTTCCGCAATATTTTGAATGAACAACGCAGCAGCGCCGCATCTAGTGGCTTCAACTGTATAGGTTAAGAAAAGCATTAAAATGCAACAACACTTACAACGTTTTTGCATTCGAATGTGGATATTTATGTGAAATTCGACGAATATTCAAAATTCACATTTTTTTTGACAGCCCTATTGTGTATGTCTGTGTGTGAAATTCATATGCCAAACATACACTAACAATAACCCTGTGCCCAAAAGTAAATCCAAAAATGGCTCAAAAAAGTGAAGTTACTTAAAAAAAATTTTATTTGTTTGCAGATGTCATGTGTTAATTTCACGGAAGCTACATGTATTTGATCAAAAATACAGTAAAAGCAATAATATTGTGAAATAATATGAATATATTTATTTCTGTGATTGCAAAGCTGAATTTTCAGCAGTCTTCAGTGTCACATGATTCTTCAGAAGTCATTCCAATATGCTGATCCTTCAGAAATCATTTTAACTTGCTGACCCAAACTTTTGGACGGTAGTGTATTTCCCTTTTTACAAAAGTGTGGAAATACCAAGTCCATGCATTATCATTATTATATCAGAATCCTGAGACAAATAAGTAACAATCAGAACACAATAGACAGAAATGGCTTCCAAAAACAAGAATCTTGACTCATTGAAGTTCTGTTTTGATACATGCACATATTTGTGGCTGTTTTGTCATTCAAAAAACTGCAGTGATAAAGCTCAGGTGTACTCTGTGTAGAAGACATTGTGAAGAATGTTAATCTACTTTTGCAACTCGTGCTGGGTTGGCAAGAAGCAATGTTGCTTGCATTGCAACAGGCTTCTGTTTACAACATAACAGAAGACTCAATTTGACCTCATTGCAAATGCCTAAACCTTCTATTACACTTTTTTTTCTCACCGTCAGGTTTGTGCTGCAAACTTTGGCGAGTTCTGTTCTATTGTTGGCCAGGAAGCTACAGAGAAACTTCTGGTGAGACCTTCTGCGTTCCTCTTGTGCTTGTATTTATAACAAAACTGCAGTCACAGTGGGTCAGAATTAATGCATCTAATTATTTCTGAGTGCAAGACTCAAAACACTTTAAAAAAAACACTTTAATCTTATGAAGCCTTTAAGTCTGTTTGTGTCTTTGTGCAGATTTTTGTTGACACGACGTGCAAATGTGTTAACCAGCACTCTCTCTTTGTCCTCACCTCAGATGCCAAAGTTTTTCGACCTGTGCTCAGACAGTCTGTGGGGTATTCGGAAAGCCTGTGCCGAGTGCTTCATGGTTGTTTCAAACTGCACTTCTCCGGAGGTGCGGCGTACTAAATTGTCCCCCTTATTCATCAACCTCATTTGTGATCAGTCACGTTGGGTAAGAGCAAAGAAACACACACACACTAACACTGTGTGCTAACATGCCGTGACTCAGCGTGTAATTTCTGTCTTTACTGAAAGTGAATGTGGTTATATGATGCTTAGTATGTGGATGTGGAGTAGGATTTTGGATCAGTGAGATTTCTGACTTTGTTTTTCCACCTGTTTTAGGCAGGAACATCTGCTTATATTCTTCTATCATTTTTCCTTTTCAGGTACGCCAGGCTGCGTTCCAGTCTCTAGGTCGTTTTATCTCCACGTTTGCCAACCCTTCAATCACAGGACTGAATTTCTGTGAGGATGGAACCCTCCACGAGATACTGAAGATCTCCTCAGAGCGGTAAGTGCACATGGTTTCTGTTACTGTTTGTAATCGACTGGTTGTTGTAGTCGTAGTTGGTTATCGATTTTTACTGGAAGCCTTGTATAATTAGGCTTTTTTTTAATAAAGACATTTATGCTTTTATTCAGCAAGGATGCATTAAATTGATTAAAAAATAAAATTAGAATGAATTATAATAATATTTTTTTTTAATAAATGCTGTTGTTTTGGACTTTCTAATCAAAAGAGGATACTGAAAAAAAGATTTCCACCCAAAAAAAAATTAAGCAGCACGTCTGTTTTCAGTATTGATAATAAGAAATGTTTCTTGAACAGAAAATCAGCATATTAGAATGATTGCTGAAGGATCATGTGACACTGAAGACTGGAGTAATGAAGCTAAAAATTCAGCTTTACATCACTGGAATGAATTGCATTTTAAAATATATTGAAATAAAAATGGTAATAATATTTCATAATATTGCCGTTTTACTGTAGTTTTCATCACAAAATGTAGCCTTCTTTCAAAAACATTAAAACAATTTTTTGAACAGTAGTATAGTTCTTTATATTGAATACATTTTTGAAACTCTTTTACACAACAAAATGAATGAATAAATCCTAAATGGAGCTCTTCTGTCTTTGTAGCCACAGACACAAAGTGACCACCAGCAACTCCAGTAACAGCCGCAATTCCTTCATTGATGGTTCTCCAGACAGTCTCATTCAGCCCCGTTCAGTGCAGCTACAATCCACTTCAGATCTGACGGGTCCACCATCACATCGTCCAGAAGGCAATTCCTCTACCCAGCCCAAAGAAGATGGCACCAGCCTGGGCCAACCTAAACACTCAGCCCCTTTTTCCCGCCAGCAGATGGACGACTGCACAGTTTTCAACTCCTTCAACTTCTGGAGATCCCCACTACCTGACATCACCCAAGACCTGCAGCTACTACAAGAAGAGGAAAGAGATGAGGTGATAGAGAAAGAAGATGAGACCATGAGGGACACCGAAGGTGAGGGGAAGGAAGACGTGCCAAGTTTAGATGCACAAGGCCCAGCCACCAGCTCCCAGATCCAGAAGGTTTTGGACTGTCTTCAGCCCCACCTGGATGATCCTGATGTGCAAGGTGATTTGCAAAAAGAGCACATAGTTCTTTTGCCTTTTTCCACATATGGACATAGTTATTCATTTTCCTGTGTGCTTTCCTCTCGCAGCTCAAGTGAAAGTGTTGTCCGCTGCGCTGAAAGCTGCCCAACTAGAGAGTCAGAGAGAAGATGCGGATGAGTCTGTGTCAGAGAGTAACGGTTCCACAGGCTCTCCGACATCTGATGAGCTCAGTGCCATGAGTGAACTCTCACTGACGGACGCACAGATCTCAGACTCACCCTCCAGTTCACCAGTGCTGGTAGACGACTCTGAACACAGCAGTGAGGTGAGAGGACGACTTTGTAGTTACTAAATGTCAAAGAATGTTTTTTGTCTCTGAGGAAAAAGTAATTTCAGCAATTTAACAATTATAGCATTTAAAAGAAATGATCTTATTTTTTTTTTTTAATGTTTAAAATATGAAATTTAATTAAGGTTATAATACTTTAAATGTTTACAAATATTTATATTATTATTAATATTAATTACTGTCAGTACATGTAATTAAATTGATTAAAAGATTTTCTTTTCATAGCCCTAATAATAATAATAAAATTATATATTATTTATTATAATATTTTAAATATTTGATCACATATTTTAAATGTAAAAAAATTTGTTATTACATTCAATTTAATAATAATTTAACATTTGTTAAATTATAATATGTATTAGATCTTTTTTTTAAATGTTAAGATTATAGTTTATATTTCATTGGTATTAATATAATGTTTTATTATTATT